AAATCCCCACAGATTCATTCATTTTCACTCAGTTATATGGCTTTGACACTATTTGTAACTTGAGACAATCAAAAGAATAATTGTTTGCATCCCTAAGTATCCAAATCTTCTTTAAAAAAAAAAAAAAGACTAAGGCACACATCCTGTTCCTATCCAATATGGTAAGTATAGCCACATATTCATCATGAAATACAATACTTTAACTGGCACAGGAAATGAGAACACTATAGACTTCCCATGACTTTGCCATGACCACTCAGCTTCCGAGAGTCTTGCTGCCTCAATGACGCTCTCTCTCCCACAATGGAGCTCAGTACTTCTCAAACACCTGCTTTGTGTCATCTTATATAAATTTCCTTCATGTTACTTATACTGCAAATGGTTCCCTCCTACTGCTATGCTCTCCATAGGGGTGGAGGTATAGCTGCAACATGTCATACTGTGGAAATTACTTCTAAATGCGTACTGACAATTGTTATTTTCAATGCAATTGATCATTAAGCTCTTGATCACTATCCTCCTGTATTTGGAGGAAGAGTTTCAGAGTGTCCTTAAATAAATCTTCCCAGGCTATCACAAAGACCATATTTTCTGCAAAAAGTTCAGTGATGGAGGAAATTTTCAAAGTCTTTTAGCATTGGGCAGATAACAGCAATAGTATCATTCAGTTGATATCTTCACTTATCCCCTTTAGTCTATTTGGTGGCTCAGCATCCAACCACTAAGAGTTTTGAGTGTTGCAGGAAAGGTTTCACTGGCTTTATCACCATTAAAGACATTCCCTTTTGAACACCGGCTGCCTAAGTATGTGATATCCTGCAGAGCAAGAGGATGAGGACATAGATTGCAGTGAGGCTGAACAGTCTACACTTCCTATCGGTGACACCAGACATCAATCTTTCTTAAAGACAGCCCAGAACACATGAAAAGAACTCTTCCAAAAGAACAAATGAGGCATTATCCTAGGAAAGAAAAATACAGGAAAGAAAGGAAAGATTGTCACCAAAATATTTTCCTAGTGAGAGTTTCTCAGGGATGATTATGCACTGAAATTCCTTACATTGCCATCTTGGTGTTTAAAAAAAAAATTCCTTTTGTAAAATGTATATATTTTGAGGTTTAAATTATTGGTGACACAGCATTTGAGAATCATTTAATTGCATCTTGAAATATGTGTGTGTTTCATGTTTTACATATGTGTATCAGCTGGCTTTACTAGCATTAGAAAAATGCTAATGTGGTCACAGTTAATCTGTTTCACATGGTTCACAGCATCAAATGTGACATCATTATAGGAAGTCACTTTACGCAACTCCAGGAGAACATTATTATTGCTTTTAATCTATGACAAAGTTTCAAATAACTTGATCACAAGGAAGGGAAGTAGTGAATTATTAGGAGAAATGTATTTTGTGTTTTGTAGAAATGTATTCTGTGTTTTGACGGATGCTAATTTGTTATCTAATAACAGGTGGGTGCTTGGCTCTGAGAACAAAGCAAGCTAGTATGACTTCCACGGGGGCCCAGGCTTTGGCCATATTTTGGCTCCTTACCTTTTACATATAAGCAAATTAATGCATTTTCATTTGAGGAATCTTAATTTTAAAAATAACAGATGCTGATGCTAATGACCTTATAAAATATTTCCAACAACTTAATTTTGAAATTATAGTTAAATGCAAAATGGTACTTCTAGGGAAATGAATTTTTGCCAGCAATAATATTTTCCCCATTATATACAGTAGGTTAAGTCCATTTCCCAGAAGGATCACACATCTTCACGGTGCTGCAGCGAGGAGGGAGGGGACTCATGCAAGTCCAGCTGACTTCCTTTCAAGTTTAGGAGCAGGTAGGAATTATAGTCATTGGAGCTCCTGAACACCTTATGTTTTGTGACCATTTTTCCTCTCTCTAGAGCATTTTTAAATGTTTAGAGGATTTTGTGCAGTCATATTCTTTATTTGTTTTTTTCATATTTAATGTTTTAAAAAAGAATGTTTCAAAAATGAAAATAGGATTTACAGAACTATGTATCATATTTACGCTCTAACCTCTGAAGCATACTAAAAATTATACATGTGTGTATATATATATATATATACATATATATATATAAATTCAAGTAAAGATTAAATGTATCATGAATTAACCTTCATGGTTATGGTTTATAACTAGATGTTTTCCAAAAGAACCTCTTATGCTCATGGGGGGAAGTGCTTTTGGAAGGTGACGTGATCATGAGGGCTTCTGGCTGACTTGTTTACGGAGTGAAATCTGGTCAGAAACGGAAGGTTTCTGGGGATGTGGTCTGGAAGGATTATCTCCCTCCCCAGCTCCTCCTTTCACTCTTTAATTCCTGTCCAACATGCCATGAGCAGCTGTTCGTCTGCCCTGCCTCTTGGCTTCACTGACTTGCCAGGGAGGCAGCCTACCGTGCAAGGACTGGGACTACTGAAATGTGACCCAGAGTAAACCTCCCCTGCTTTAAGCTGCAGTGTCAGGTAGCATACCTGGGGGATGCAAAGGTGACTAAGATAGCAAGTGATGTCTTTTGAGTAGTCACCATCCTCCTTATGGTTAAAAAATATGAAATAAGCATACAAGTGAATGGATTCCATGCTTGACAGTCTAACCTTGAGAGCAAAGGGACAGCAATATGCCATGTGCTAATAGTACACATATTTTGTCTTTTTTTTTTTTTTTTTTGGTTTTTCTCTGGTACTGGGAACCGAACTCACGACGTTGCGCATGCCAGGCAGGCGCTTTTGCCACTGAGCTAAATCCCCAACCCCCTAGTACACATATTTTGTTAAAATTAAAAGAAAGTATCAGTTAATGAGAGCCACCTTGTCATTTTAGGATATTAAATGTATTGAATATAGTTTTTGAGGTTCTTAATGAACTTTTCCTTAAGAATTGTTCTTAAAAATCAAATCCTTGAAAAAAACTATACCACATTGTATTAGTAACCTGCACAAATAATAATTTCCATGTTACCTTTGTCACTTCTCTGGATATTTTCCTTACATGTGCAATTGTTTCCATTAATCACAAAAATCAAATTTTTAGGTATATTTGCTAGAGTGTGTTAGAAGCTGGTGAAAAGTCAACTTTGATTTATTCATTCAGAAATATTGACTTTTCTCGATTTTACATTAAATGCTGCATAAATGCATAAATGAAAATTAGAAAGATTTATGAAAATATACTGAGATCTGGTATACTGTAGGGTTTTCTTAAGCTCTTAGATTTCTGGCCTGACTAAGATTATACCAACGCTAATAAACAAGGAAGGAGGACAGGAGACAAACAGGAAGATAATGAGATAGATTCAGGGAATAACACACAGGGCCTGCAAAAGGAATTTGGGTCCAGAAGTCGAAAGGGAGCTTCAGATTCATATTTGGGAGCCATCAACTTTTGGATAAGGGCTTATTGCAGGTACTTTTTGTTGTAAGACCAATAGAAAGTTCTTATTACTGGCAAAGAGATCCCGGTAAGTTTCTGCAGTGGCTGGCAGGAAGATATCTACTTTACATAGCCATAAGAAAGAGGAGAATGAGGAGTTCAGAAAAAGAATTGATCCTTTGAAGGTGGGTGGAGAACAAGAGGAAAAATCAGGGAAATGATCGCAGTTGGGGCAGAGATAGAGGAGGAAAGAGAAGCAGGGGATATTACTCAGATCAAAAGAAAAGACTTTCAAACAGAATCAGTAGTCAAAAGTTTTATAAAGTCCAAGTAGGATGACATCTAAGAAAAGGCTTTGTTTTTACCAAGAAGGAGGCCAATAAGGATTTGGAGGGACTCAGTGACATTAACAATGAGTGTAAGGATGACTGGGAAGTCAGGGAGTAAATTATCTGCCCTTTTCCAATACTTGAGATAAAAACGAAGAAGGGGTCAAGGGTTCCTGATTTATGAAATGCAGTGTTAGGATAGAGCTGAAGTTAGTGGAAAAGAATCAGTGTAAAGGAAAAGAAAAGTTTTATAAAGGGTTTATTTTGCTAATGAAAGTACATAGAGTTTGCAGATCAAATAGTATGACTTGGTCATTGATTCAAATGAAACAATTTTGTTCAATAAGCTTGTTTAATCACGAAAAACTATGTTGGTGTCTACTAAGTAAAAAAACAATGATAAGTGTTATACAAATATAGTCATAGACAAATTAAGTTTTCTTTCATTAAGAACCATATCAAATAGTGAAGGCTACAATATAGCAGAGTATTGGTGATAGAAGACTACTTAAGTGTAATAAGAATCCTATCATAATTTTACCTGGGGAGAATGTTACCTAGCTCCATGAAAAAAACATGGAAAGTGCAATGGTTCTGAAAAGATGAAGAATATTTTGTTAGGACGCACAAAAATAGGAAACCATGACAATACTGAGGGTGTTTAAAAAGACCAGAGCATGGAGACTATGTGAAAAAGAGATAGAGAAATACTGTACATAATTATTGTGTAATATTTATGTATCACAAAATATTGTCCTTACTGTATTTCAGCCACTTGAAAATGTAAAACTCATTCTTAGCCTGCTGTAATACACACCAGTGGGGCGCTGCATTTGGCCCTTGCACTAGACTGTGATGATAACAGTCACTGTGTCTTACATTCACCAGTCACGCAGGAGCAGGTGCTGACTGTGCTGAGGCAGGAGGTCTTGCTCTGCTAGGGAAGGCAGGTATGGGATAAGAAGGGGGAGAAGTGAAGGATAGAGTGGACTGATGGGAGCTGGTGGTGGGAATTTGTGGGAGCTAGAAAAAAACAGTGATAAACGATTTAGAAGTTGTAAGACCAGAAACAAAACAAAAAAATGTGAGCAGAAGACATTGGATCCAGTTAATACAGAGCATTTGGGTGTGAGTGTCATGTCATGATGGGGTCATTGTTGAGGGACAGAGGGGGTAGAACGTGAGGTTATTGAAATAACTGGAGAAATGTTGCTGAATAACTACTTCCGTATTTCAAAGTCCAAAGGTCAGACTGCCACTTACATGAAACTTCTTTTTCCATCTCCTGATAGACACTGGCATGGTCCTTTTCAAGAGACATGTACATTCAGATTCAAAGAGTACCAGGAAGATAGACTAACGTGTTCAAATTACGGCATTCAGCTTGGATTCGCTATCATTTTCATGGGACACAACCTTACTCCTTGCAAATTCAGCAGTACTGGAAATTTCTAATGTTAAAGACAGATTCATCTTCTATGAAGCACTAAACATTAGTTTCAAAACACAAAAGCAAATGTAAAACCAGTAGAAAGTCCTTATTACTAGCACAGAGATGCTGATTCTATTGCTGCTGGCAGGAGTGTTCCACGTCCAGTTAGGTGGCTCATTAGGGAGAGAATGCAGAGCAACTGCAGTCACTTTCTATGTAGACATTTCAGTGCCACTTGGTCTCCTTTCCTGGTTGTTTTGCTTTCATGGTCATTTCCTAATGTTTTCAGTCTCTGAGGTTATTTGTTCCTGGATTCTGTGACTTGAAGATGCAAATTACATAAATATTTGTTCCAAATGGAATGGAGCAGAAGTTCACTGTTTCTCACCACAGGCCAGAGTGCTGCCCAGGAGCACCAAGGCGGTGCTTGCCACGCCTAGCTTTCTCTGTTGACATCACCACCATTCTTGTCCCAGGATTCTGGTCGTCTGATTGTGCAGTCACATCCTTATGCATGACAAACATATGTCAGTAAATACTCTAGAAGATTCCTTACTTTCAATTTATATAATGTATACCTATTCCTTTGAATTTGAATGTATTTTAAGTGTGATAAACTTACACACCACACAAAAACCTGTTGTGATGTTAATGTCACTTCTGATGACCAGGAACCAAATACACGAGAATTTATTTTATTAAGTGGAGAAATGATTTTTACGAGACCCAAAAATCTTGAAATTCAGCAGGGTTTAAAATGTAATACCGTTAACTCTTATTTCTAATTATTTTTACCTAATCATGCCCACTTTTTCAGAGAATAGTTTTTTCACATATTGCACAGATTTTCCTCACTGTTGAGAGGTACAGCGATCTCTCTTAACCAAAAATATCTCTTTACTGGCCTTTTATCTTTCTGGAAATTTTGGTATTCATGCCACATAAGGGTGCTTTAGTTTCAACAGCATCTTTTCTATTGGAAAAAAAGCTTTCTGTATATCTCCTCAGAAATGTCCAGATCCTCTGGGGGCTCATGGCCTAGTGCTAACTTGAACTGTGAGAAGTTAAGGGATTATTTGGTCCTGTCCAGTTATCAACACACAACACACAGGCAGTAGAGGAATATAAAATGGAGAGCAAGGGAGCTAAGAACATAGTCCATTGAAACCAGGCTGCCTTATTCGTAGCCTTACTTTTAGCCAACCCTGTGTATGACCTTGGAATAGAGTACATAATGCAGTCAGTTATGTTTTTTCCTCCCTTAGGCTATCAGGAAACATAAAATGAAAGCTTCAGGGAAGAATATGAGCTAATACATGTCAAATGTTTAAAGTATTCCCTAGTACATGCTAAGCCTTTTTATGTGCTTATGATCATTGCTATTATTACAGTTATTAATCTCATCTTTAAATAAAGACAAGGAGAGATTCATGTGGCATTTGTTGCCATTATAACAAGTAGTCAGTGATGAAATGTGAATGACTGAGATCATATGAGATCTCAATTCTAGGACATTTGAGAATGTGTAGCACATGCAGGGAAGTGTCACTCTCCAAAATAGAAACTAATATATTCTTACCTGCCACAGAAGCCCTGTCTGTATTAATCTTCAAAATGTTTTTGAAAAACAACTACAAGGTGATTCAAAACATAAATTTGCAGAGGATTATTTTTATTTTGACAGTTTGTAAAACTTTCTTGCATCTCTCTCTCACACACACATCTATCATCTATCTTTTTATCTATTATCTATTTATCTATCTAGATATAGATAGATATATGTGTATATCTTTCTATATATATTCGACAACTTTTCTTTACTGATGGGATTTTCAAGGTCTTTTTTTGTTGGCTTGTGCACTTTATGCTTTTACTTAAGCAATAATTTGTATATTGTAAGTATTAAATAAATTGCAGCAAAATGACTATTTTTGTAAAATCTGCAAATTAAATATACTATGAAATATAAACTTAATTCATAGAATTTCCAAAATGGATTTAAAATGGAATAAAATTGATAAGAATATAGATGTGTTAAAATTCTGAAATTTAAAAAGTGGATTTTTCATAGGTACTACAAAAGATGCAATAGGTGGTAATAACATTAGAATTTTTGGAAAAATGTTCCTCTAACTCAGTAATAATTACCACATTATTTCTTGTTTTGTGTTGTCTGGAAACAAAAGTTTTGAATGAAAAGAAAATAAATTATTATAATATTTAGTAATAAATAAATATTAATAAATTAATTTATAACAATAAATTCTTAAAATATTTTGTTTTATAATATTAAAAATCTATTTCTCATATTTTACTTAAATTTTGCAAGCATATAGCCCTACAAATAGAAAAGTCTTTTAAGAATTTTATTTGGTAGAATTTAAAACATTTACTGAACATAAAAAATATATATATTAGTGATTAAATAAAAAAGAATAGGAGAGTTTAGTGTTGGTGAAATTTTAGAACCATAATTTATTTCCTCCTGAAGAGAGGTGCTTTAATGTGTACATGTAACCAGATGAACAGATAAAAATTTGTAAAACAAAATTAATAGAATTGACTACTACTTGAGATGATTGGTTTCTGTGATACTAAATATTTGGTAATGTGTCAAATGTGTTGAACAAAATATGGATGTCCAATACTTACAAATTTGTGTTTTTATAGTTAGTTGACAAAAAGCAGGTTCAGAGAAAACAGCAAAAATATCAGTTTCTCATTGAAAAAACTAGTGAGATTATCATTTTTAAAATATTTTATTTGTTTATTTTTTTGGTCTTTGTTGAGACACAGTCTCGCTATGCAGTTCTGACTGGCCTTGAGCTCATTTTGTAGCCCAGGCTGGTCTGAAAGTTGCAATGACCCTCCTGCCTCAGCCTCTCGAGTGTTGGGATTACAGGTGTACGTGCCACCACACCCGGCAATTTTTTTTTATTTTAAAGAGAATAAAAAAAATGATAACAGGAAGTGAATGAACTTGTGATAATAAAACTGATAGCATCATTAGCTCTTTTACTGAATAGAAAATAGGAAATGCAAAGAGTGTATTCAATGTTATTCACAAGTTATTTTCCAGTGAGAGTTTTAAACATAATTTATTTATATCGTTTTGCTCACATATTTTAATTAATTTCTTAAAATGTTTTATCAACAATTGTTACTTACTGGGAAGGCATGCGTCAAACTTTTACACAATTCACCTGTATTGGTTACTTCCAAATTCAAAGTGGCAATTGCTTTCATTGAAAAGCTATTGTTAGATTTCTTGTTAAAGACATCAGACAGGTTCTTGTTAAAGAGAATTTGAGAGAGTCAGCATTATCAATTAATATCATACTTTCAGCTTCATAGTGCCCTTTGATTATCAGAAATTACCAGGGAAATGGCACCTTGGGCTTGGAGAGCAGTTGGACCTACTCACCTCCATTTCTGGAAGAAGTAGGGGGTAAGTGCATTAAATAAATCACTACTAAGATAGTGATCCTCTTTAATGAAACAGTTTTCCATTTGCCCTTCAATTTTCTTTAAATTACTTATAAACCAAACTTGGGATTCTTGCAGCTTGTTATAGTCTGCATATGTTTTTTCCTCCTCCATCAATTGTTGGAAAATTAGTTACCAGTGCAACAGAGTTGGGAGGCAGAGACTATTGGGAAGAGCTTGGCCGTGTAGGCTCCACCCTCATGTCAGATGAAGGCCCTGGAAGAACGCTCATGGGAGTGGTGGTGCCTTGTCCTTGCTCTTTTTTAGCTCTGCCAGTTTAGCGCACTTGAATATGCTCCAAGGAGAATTCAATATTCAGTGAGTCCTCTTGGTTACAGTGAGAAAGGGCTCTATTCTTCAAATCTTTGTCTTAAGCGTCATCTTCTAGAAATGTGAGAAATAAATTTCTGATCTTCAGAAATTACCCAGTTTCAGGCATTTATTTATTTATTTACGCATGCCCTTGCTATGGTACACAGGCCGGCCTGGAACTCACTATGTAGCCCATGCTGGCCTCAAGCTCATGGTGATCATCTCGCATCAGCCTCCATAGTGCTAGGATTACAGGTTTGCAATACCATGTCCGGTTTCAGGCAGTTTCTTAATAGCAAGACAAAAAAAAAAAAAAAAAAAACAAGGACTAAGACACAGTTCTTTCATTCCATAGTCACTGTATAATAGCCTGTTATTTTGCATAAAGTGTCACTAACATACTTGTAGTTAGAACCAAGCATTATTCGTGTTTTAGACAATATGCAACTGTAACACTTTTCCCTTTGTAACTGGGGGTTTTCCAGATTACATGCAAGGGAAACACTCTCAATGCATTTCTCAGGACTCCCTTGCTGCCCACTACTGAGAATTAAATGACTGTTGCATATAACTGTTATATAACTGTGGCGATTTTATGTAGATTTGTGCTTAAGTCTCAAATTAACCTAAAGGGTTACTTCTCTTCATTTCATAGTTTACAAGATATGAGTTAAGAGACTTGCATAGATATTTTTGGATGCATAGCGCATATAGATTCATGTGGACATTATTCATATTATTCTGAAATATTTGTCTAAAGTAATTTTTGTCTTTTATATATACTACAATAACTTAATAAAGGTTTCAAATACATAAATTGAATTTCAGGAAAATTGAAAACTTTTGTTCTAAGATACTGTCAGATAATGAAAAGCCAAGCTATACCCTGGGAGAGAACATAGGCAAATTTCACATCTAATGAAAGATTTATATGCAGAATATATAAAGACAACCTGGAGAAAACAACAGTTAAAATCTGGACACAAATTTTGAATAGCTTCTTCCAAGTGAAGATATATAGATGGAAAATAAATGTGTGGATCATTGTCCTTAGCCAAAGCAATGAAAATTAACATTACATCATGATATCACCTCACACTTATTAAAATCGCTATCAGAAAAAATAATTAAAAATGCAATTAACACTTTAAAGTATTTCCAGAAATGTGGAAAAATTTGAACCCTATTTTCACACACTGCTAGTTCTAATATGAAATTGCAGTTTCACAGTTTCTTAACAAGCTAAATGTTAGTTATACTGTACAGCTCAACAATTCATTTTTAAGTATTTATCCAAATAAAGTAAAAACCTATGTTCACAGGAAATCTCTGGGATAATGATGATATAAGCTTCATTTGAGACTGTCAAAGACTGTAAGCAACTGAAATACCTTTCAAATGGTGAATAACTAAAAACAAAGCTATGCTACATATGTACAAGTAGAATACTACATAGACAAACACAAAACAAAGCAAAAACAATAAAAATGAGAATGTAGTTGTTAGTTTGTTATTGTTTTTATTCTCTTTAAAATAAAGAAGAATACTCCTGCACAATAAGAAGGAACAAACTACTAAAAAACAGAAAAATGGAGGAATCTCTAACACTCTGCTAAATGTGCAAAGCTAAGTACTGTATGACTCCATTTATATGAACTTCTCAAAGAGGTAAAACTACAAGAAAGAAAACAGACTAGGGGATACCAGGGAATGCGAATGAGGGGAGCAGTTAATAACTATATTAATTACCCATTATAGCTTAAAGTAAGAAACTTTGTTATCTCATAATTCCCATGAGTCAAGTCTTTCCCAAGATTGCAGTTCAGCTATTCAGCTGTCTGCAGGATAAAACGTCACCCAAAGACTGGGGAATCTGCTTCCAGATTCACACACAGGGTTGTTGGCAGGATTCAATTCTTCATGGTGATTGGATTAAGGAGCTCAGCCCCTTCCTGCCTGGGGTGTCGGATGTGACCCCCAGTTCCCTGTCATGTGTGTGTCTCCAAAGGCAGCTCACATCATGGCTTCCCTCAGACAAAGTATGTTCAGGTTTGACAGCTTGCCCAAGACATGAACCACTGTCTTTTTATGACTAAGTATCAGGAGTCATCCCCCATTACTTTTCCAAAATTCTGTTTTCCAGTAGGGAGTCACTAAATCCAGCTCACACTCAGAGGGAAGTTATTTTTGAAAGGCATGGAATCTAGTGGACTGGAATCTTTGAGGGTCATCTCTACATCAGCTCTCTGGACCCCACTCACTTACACTTCTCCTACAGTCAAAAGACACAACTTCCAAGGTCCCAAATGCTCCACTGTATTGAATTATCAGTTCAAAGTCTATAATCCTGCCTTCTGAGTTATTGACCATCTTAGATTGCCCATCTCAAACATGAAGAGGGTGGGCTACATTTTTGGGAATGATGAAGCTGAACTGTATTGATTATACATGTGGACATGTTAAAAACTTACAGGACTGAATATTAAAAAGCATAGATTTTATTATAATTACTTGTATAAAAATTTAAAACGTCAAACTCAGAAATACAACAAATGAATGGTATATGAAATGCTGGATAAATAAATGGTATTACTGACTGTTAATAAAATATATTGCTACAGATATACATTTTGACACAGGAAAACAGTATAACTATTTCTAATTATGTCAATGAAAAGCTATAGTAACATGCATAGAGAGTCTATAATTTACTTTCAGAAAAAGAAAATATTATTGTACAGAATACAAGGTTGTATTATCTTTCATATAAGATAATATTCTGAACAATATCTATTTTATTCTGAACAATATCTATTCTTGCTCCTCTTTGATATTTGTTTTAATTCCTTGGAAAAAACCCAATTCATCAGTTTACGTACTGGGGAAAATGAACACATGTACTCACTATTAATTTTTTCTCATTTGTTCCATAAAAAAACTATTTGAATAATTTTTTATAAAATGCACTTTTATAACCCAGTTTGAAAACAATTTACTTTCAACAAACAGAGTATAAACTGTAGCAAATAGCCCAGTTTTCTGGCTTGTTTTTCCTATTTCTGCAAAGTGGAGGAGGTAAGGCGGTAGGATCTTGTTACTGCACCCTGTTTACACAGCTGTACTTCATCGAAGGGAGGCTTGTGTTACACACACTTTGTGATAGGAAGTAAATGCTTTTAAAACAACTACAGAGACAGGTCTTTAACCTCTATCTTTGTGGATTCTTTGTTGCCCCTCTAGCTTCTGTGGAAGTTATAAGGAAGTAGCTCCAGTGTATATTATTACTATCTAATTAAAGAACATCTGATTAGTTCAACCCTTGTGAATTCACTTTGTGGCTGCACTGGGATAAATTTTTTGAATATGAAATCTTGAAAGGCCTAAAAATAGACAATATCTTGATTTATAATTAAGATTTACAAGTAGTAAATTCTGAAATGTTCAATGATGAGCATGTTTTACAGAGAGACTAGTGTTTACACCACTTCAAGGGCTCAATCTATAAACAGTCTTAAAAACCTAGAAGATTCATGAAATTTATTACCTCTCAAACAACTTCCATACAACATCTGAAGATATGAAGTGCCTCAATAGTCTTTGCATCTCTCTTATGCATAATTATGTGTGCTAATCGTCAATCCAGAGATTTAGATTCTAAATTATCTTAAAGATACCAGAAGAATTTTAGAGGTCATTATGGCAAATTAGCCCTCATTTGTGTGAGAGCAATTTCCTTAACTGCTTGGATAGAAATATAGTGTTATCCTTAGGAATGATTAAAACATTAACCAATGAGGATCTAAGTTCTCCATCAGCTGGTGCTTAAAAACACTTTCTCTGTTTGGTGATAGATGACTTTATTAGCAAGAATGTCCAATAGGGCTATATATTCTCCATCCTGTTCATAATCTTCTCATCTTCCCAGAATTTTGCTGTTGTTGTATCTATGAGCTGTCATTTTTGCCAAGATATTTTTGCTTTGAAAATTCTGTTTGGTAATTACAGAGATTGCCCAGAGAGTTTTCATGTACTTAATTAATTGCCAAGAAGTTCATCCAGATTTTCAGATATAGATAATTGATAACTGCTATGATCTTCATTAAAAACATTAACAAAGTATTCTGCCATATGCCGTAAATTTTCACTAGTAGTATTTAGCAGCTGCAAAACAAGTAGCATACTTCCTCTCTTAGGTCAGTGTCCATTTTCCCATGCATCCAAGCCAAAAGATCTGGTGTCCAAGTATACAATCTTCTGCCTTGCAGGTAATTCTACCTCCTAGATTTTTATCAAAAGAATAAACAGAAGTTAAACAATATACATTTTTTAATTAACTAGAAGAGACTGTGGCATTTTGACTAGATTCTACTTAGGACACAAAATTACTTATACAAGAAAAATACAGCATAAGAAAAACAATTTCCTCATCCCTTGGTTTAGAGAGTCACTATGTAGTCATACCTGTAAAAGAAACAAGGCATTCTCCTATTGAGTGTGTGAATCAAAAGGCAGTATGAAGGGCAGTGTTCAATTAAAATAAATAAAACTCATTTCCATCTTTATTATGAGAACATGTAGCAGCTACTGGGAATGCCGCCTTGGAAAGATAAGGAAAGAGCATTATGTGATTGTTAGCTAATATATTTCTGTAAGTTAAAGTGAAACTTTAAATCATAGGACCAAATATTACCATGTTTCCTTTCTTAGTCCAACAGTTGGTGTTTGAGACTTCACAAAATGTTAGCAGGAAATAATGTTATGTACTATTTCACTCCAAAATTTATGTACCAGTTTCTCCCATCAGATAATTCTTCTTTAATTAGAAATGTGTTATCACATACTGAAAAATCATCACTATTCATTCAACATTCAATAATGTATTGTTACAACATTACCAGTTACTTTACGAGCTGTCATATTGCAGTATGTTAGCAAAGTATAAATTTCAGAAGTCATTTCAGTTCGCTGGAGGCATTTAATTATGTCACGGACACTATAATGTCTGTTGGACATGTTTCAATTTTTTATTTATTTATAATTTGTTCACTCTGGCTCCAAAAATGATTTGTGGTGCATTATTTTAATTATAATTATGTTGCCTTGCTTTTTTCAGAGATGTCCCAGATTTTTCACCCTCACTGAACATAGCAACATGCATAACTGAAAATGGAAGCTGCATTGTTCCTTTTCTCATGGTGCATTTCAAATTAAGTGTTTTGCAGAGGTTAATATCATATGGGCTGGACACAAACACACCACAGGTCTGAAATCTATAACTTATCCACAGCACTGGGACTGTCTGCAATCCGGATATGTACTTTTGGGGCTCAAATGTTTCTATTTTTTTTGAGTAAACTAATGGAAGATGTTTACTAGAAATCCTTTCTCGTCTGTAAGGCCAGACGCCAATGTGTTTTCTTCTCCTCTGTGAGACAAGACATACAAAAAGCATATGAAGCATATGGTCTTTCCCAATAGTAGTCTTTTGTTCAGCCTAAAATCTTGCTTTACTGTATACAGCAGTGCAAGAAAAGGCCTGGCTGTTTGTTTTTACCCTCAACTTAGAGGGTGATGTATAGACAATGCATCTCAATGAAATATATGCAAAGAGATTTCATTAGAAACTGTGAAAAGCAATGTTTATAAAATTAGCTCCCATTTCTGCCTGCCTCACTAAAATCTTCTTGAAACTCTTACTGTTGAAATTTTTAGAATGACAAATAACTATTGCACACATTTAGCATTCAAAGTTTTGACACATATGGTATATGCAGTGGAATGATCCAATATGGGTAATTAGGATATATATATTCCCTGAAATATTTATCATTTCTTTGTGTTGAGAACATTTGAAATTCTCTCTTCTGGCTATTTTGATTTGTACAATATCTTATTTACTATAATCATCATTCTGTGCAATAGAACACCAGAAATTATTCCTATCTATCTTTGTAACTGCTTGTAAATATTTTCCCTTTGATCACCCCTGCTTCACATCTCTGTTCTTTCCACATCTGTGTTTAATGTGACTGTGCTGCCTGTTTCCATGCATTTAACTTTTTAGCTTCCATAAATAAGTGACATAATGCAATATTTGACTCTCCATGCCTGCCTTATTTCACTTAATGTGATGATCTCTGGGTTCATCCACGTTGGCAAAAATGGCACAATTCAATTTCTCTTTTTTAACTCTCAATAGTTTTCTGTTGTGTATACATACTTCATTTAATGAATCTACTCATCCAACAAACTTAGACTGTTTTCATATCTTGGCTGTTGTGAATATGCTACAACTAACGTGTTTGGCATACAGGTCTTAATTCCTTTTGGTATACACCTTACAGTAGCATTGCTATAGCTCGTACAATAATCCTACTACCACGTTTTGAAGATCATCCATACTGTTTTCCTGAATGGCTATACTAATATTCAATACCAATAGTTTATAATGATTTACTTTTTTCCACGTCCTCATCAATTTGTTTTATTTTATCTTTTTTGATAATAACCAGTGCCACCAGTATGAGGTGGTATTTACTTGTGCTTTGAAGATTTATATTTCTCTAATGATTAGGGGTATTGAGAATTTTTATATTTATTTGTTTTCTATTTTTAATAGCATTGTTTGCTTTTCATTCAATAATTTTACTTCCTTTATAGTATTTAAAGTTTAGTCATATATCTAAAGTACACTCAGAAATATTTTTCCCCAATATTTTTATTCTACTTTTTTATGCAGAATCTTTTAAGCTCGATGTAATCTAACTGTTTTTATCTATGTTACCTGTGTTTTTGAGATCTTACAAAAATAATCTTTTTTAGATCAATATTCAGTATGGTACAGCATTTTCACTGTATTTTGTCCACTAATTTTATAGTTTCAGGCATTATGTTTAAGTCTTTAGCCTATTGTGGGTTGATTCTTGTGTAAGAGTCCATTTTCATTCAGAGAGCATACAAATGAATGGAAAGATAGCCATATTTGTGGTTTAGGACAGCTAATATTAATTTTTTATACTACCTAAAAATCTATAGAATCAATAAAACACCTATCAAAATCCCATGCATTTTTTATAGAAATGTTAAAAAAAATCCTAAGATTTATAGGGAACCACAAAATATAATGGATAGCCAGAGCAGTCTTGATTTAAAAAAAAAAGAGCAAAGTTATAGGCATATAACTTTACAAATGCAATATTATAGGCATATACATTACAAATGCAATACAAAGCAATAGTAATCAAAAGAGCAAGGTAAGAGCATAGAAACAGGCACATTATGGAACAGAACAGGATAGAGAACCAGAAGTACATTCACTTAACTTTCAGCCAATGTACTAAGAGTACACAATCTACTAAAATGATGTTTGCCTTAATTTGGATAAGGGTTTTAGTGTGTCCCCAAAGTTTATGCGTTGAAAACTTCATCCTAACAGTGGCAGCATTTGGAGGCAGGATAGAATTTTTAAGAGATATGATTAACAGGAATTATTCAGTCAATTGCAGTTATGTCCTTAAAGAGACTGTGATAGCCCAGTGGCTCTTTCTGGCTTCCTGTTTGGAGTCCTGATTGCCGACCACTCCATGTGCTCCTGCCTTTGCAATCCACTATGGAGTCACACAGCCAAGGAGACCTTCACCAGACCCTGTGCTATGCCATTTGGATTTCCTGCATTCCAAACTGTGAGCTACATAAATCTCTTTTCTTTATAAGTTAGATTTCCTCAAGTATTTCTTTGCAGTGACAGAAATAGGCAAATAGAAAGATCAACAATTACTGGCTGTAAAATATTATCACAAAAGGAAATGGTCAGAATAATAACTATTGGAAACAGTCTTCAGGCTGAGGTTCTTCTGGCTCAGTGGACATCTCTGATCTACCTCGTAACATAGTTTCCTATGATCCTCCCTGCTTAGCCCTTCAGAGTCATTAATACACAACATCAGCTTTGATTTACCCTTAATATTATACCTAAAATCAGTAAGGTATTTGCTATCTATAAATTATAATTACTGAAAATTTGTATGGTTCCACATAGTTTATAAAGTGTATTATATCACTTATTAAGAAATATGTATGTAGCTGGATAGTTTTCTAAAACCTCTTTATATATTGACTTAGATGATGTTGAAAAATTGATATGCAGGAACTTCTATAATTTTCATTTTTAAATGATACAATTAAACCTATAGTGCAGTAATATAACTAGTAAAGGGAGGAATTGACTTGAACTCATACAAGCTGGCTCCAGTGGATTTTACCAATATTCTCTAAATCCTCTTCATCATGCTTCAACACAATACTGATTTTCCCTTATGTTCCTTTTTTATTATTCTAAATAAGTTTATGGTTCTTGAAGCCAAATATTATTATTACCAAGAAAGTGAAGGTCAGTGAGATTACTTATATAGCTAGTATGTGGAAAAGCCAAGTGCTTGAAACCAGATGCTTCATAACTGGTATAAAAATATGCTGGCATTGAACTCTAGCCCATATACCAGCATAAGCAAAACAAACCTGTAAGCCCACCATACCATAGACCTGTACTAAGAACTGTATTTATTTCCTAGGGTTTAAGTAACACAAAATGACAAACTAGGAGGCTTAAAAAGTGGAAATTTATTGTCTCAGAGTTCTGGATTCCAAATGTGAAAATCAAGGTGTTTTCAGGATATGGTGACATCTGAACCCACTGGGGAAGGATCTGACCTATTCTTCTCTCTCTAGACTCTGGTAATTCCAGATGACAAAATTGCAATATTCCCACGGTGTCCTTCCTGACTTTTTATCCACATTTCTCTTTTAAAATAGGGCATTTATTATACTGAATGGGAGGCCTACCTTACTCCAGTATGACCACATTTTAACTAATTACATTTGCAACAATCTTATTTTCAACCAAAGTAACATTCTGGAAAGCCTGAGGGGTTAAGTCTTCAGCATGTGCACTTGGGATATAATATAATCCAAAGCACAGCTGTAAGTGCTATACATGAAAAAGAAGTACATATTTGTTTTCATTTCCTATGGCGTGTGCTGGAATTCTAGATGGTTAAACACAGAAGGAAATACTTGACTGTAGAAAACTTCCAGAGTAGTTAATGGAGGGAGGACCAGGGCTGGGGATGGAGAAGAAACCTAACCAACTTCTCTTCTTAGTGACTAGCTGCATGGATATAGCTTATTGTCATCCTGCACAAAACAGGCTGACTACATGGCTGATTCAAAGAATTCCCTGAGAAATAATCCAAGGGAAAATTAAATCAGAGCATTAGAAAAAATTTAATTTATTCAGAATTAGAACTCTTAAAGATACTACTTTAGAACATTTGTTTTTAAGGCTACACAAATGAATCTCAGAAAAACCTACCATGTCAACCTGTATAGAACATCCCTAGGTAGGCCCTCCAGTACAAACACCTAACCACAGTTTATCACCATACCCATTTTGGGTCCCTTTAGACATTCCCTATATTAAGTCAATGCATCCAAATTTACAGATAGTGAAAACTGAAGTGAAATGGAGTTTCACACCCATCTTATTACTACAGAAAATTTCCCAGTACCCTTTCATGCCACTTTATCAGAGACACTGCAAAAATGTGCTGAATACAGAAATTAATACAGGGAATTATCAAATGATGCTGGTATTTTTCTTTGTTTGTTTTTGAGAGAGGGTGATTTAGAACTTTCACAATGGGAAATGAAAAGTTGGGGTTATAAGTCACCCAAGATTTTTGACCAGGACTTTTAGGTCCCTTAAAAGATGTTTAATAGATTTTTCAAGATACTAAAATGAAACAGCAGATTTTAGGTTTGTTTATTTTCTCTGATGTAGGGGACTCTTTGTTCTCTTGGTGTACCCCAGGGAGAAACTGAGGCAGGTATGAGGAAAAGATAAACAAGAAACAAGAGCTGGGTCAGGTGGAGGCAACCTCTTTCCTAATGGGTAAGAGGACCTGAGCAACAACCATAGGGACGTTTATTTATACTCTTGCAAAGTGAGATGTAAGGTTGCGTAGCAACTAATGACTGCATTGTCCAGGCAGGGCACTTTCTCAAGACTGAGGCAGCTTGATTGCTTGAGGCACTGGCTCTGTCCTGCCTTCACACCTATGATGAATTTCCAGCTTCAGCTGCTCCCAACACTCTGAGTCATTTATAAGCTTCTCCTCATCAGAACTTTCACATAAAGCCTATGATTTGGCAGTTACCAAGGTAACAATATATTTTTGAACAAATAAATGGATCATATCTTTGAAAAGAAAACTGATGTGTGAAATTAAGAGTGAAATTAGCTCAGCGTGTATTTTT